CATCGTTATTTAAAGAGCTTTAAAATAGTCACAGGGTAGTCTCACAGTTACCTTCAGCTTGTGCAGGTGTTACCCTCACATGCTGAAAACTCTGATAGGGAAGTTGAATTTAAGGAACAGAAATCACTGCACAGAAAAGCCGGAATCTGAAATTATTGCATGAAAAAGCATCTCGAGCTGACTGCGTTTTATGAGCTGATGTTTCTTGTCCAACCTCTTGGCTTTGGGTTTGGAGAGCCGGGAAATTGGGATTGTTCATTTCGGCAAAAGAGAAGGTTTAATTTACATTTCTGAGCCTTTGAATATTATATTTGTGGGTAAATTGTTATGGTCATCTCGAGTGAATACTGCCTTAACTTTGCCATCAAGCCATCTGAACAGGACCTCAGCTTTGAAGTGATGAAACAGAAGCTCCACTGAATCTTATTCTCTTACAATCTTTTTCTGTCTCTTATTTTCCAGCTGGTGTTGGTAATTCCTAAACAGACCTCCTGTGGGCTTCTTGTTTAAGCTCTATTTGTTAAGTTTTTAGTTATTACCTCTGTATCCTTTTGGTTTTGCAACTTTTTTCCTAGTTCTGAGCTGTACAGTATTTAATTTTGGGTAAATTTTCAACCAGTGTGGTGGCAGGAAACAAATTAAAGTGTTCCTGTAGTAGTACAAGAAGAAAAATAGAGGCAAATTCTGCTCAGTTATTACTCTTCATACTGTGTTCTGATGGAATAGTTGGCTTTTTCATGCAATTTATATTGGATGTGATCACACAGCTTAAAGGCCTTCATAAAAAAAGGAGTATCTGGACTATATGTATAAATTACTGCACATGTGTATACTATATATTGCATGCAGTTTTTATTTTAACATAATTTCTGTTGTTCAGAGGATTTAGGTGATTATCATAACACAAATCATTCATGTTCTTGTCCCACCACATTAATTACAGCACTTGTATTCTTTTATTCTTTGGATTTTCAGGGGAAAAAAAGACCTTTTTGTGTATCTTTTATTCTTTGGATTTTCAGGGGAAAAACCTTTTTGTGTAAAAAATAAACAAATCCTTTGTTGCAGTCTAGATCTCTTAAACTGTTTTCCTCTAACAGTGGTAAAATATAGATGACTAATTAAAATAAAGAGCTTTTCATCAGCTCGTAATCCCTGCCATTCAAATTTATTTAGAAATTCTTGGATAAATAAGCCATGCAAGTGTATAACCGGCCAAATATATCGGTATCTTTCAGTTCAAAGTGCTGCCAACTGCAGATTCCATGGCGTAAGAGTCAAGGCAGTAAAGAAATGGAGGCAAATCCTTTCCTAGGGATCAAGATTGTAGGGACAAAGATAAATAACACTTTATATTATAGGTTTGGAATTCTGTATTGGGGGGAAAAAAAAAGAGTTAAATTATGGTTTGGAATTCTGTATTGGGGGGAAAAAAAGTTAAATTACAACATGATTTAAATATCCATGTATTTAATTCTCCTGTAAACCAAAATACCTGGAAGAATGTAGTCTAAGCTTTCTAAAATAATCTGAATATCCAGGATGTGAATTAATTTATTGAAAATGAATAGGAGTGAGTGAAAACGGGTGCTAAAATGGCAATTTTTGTTCATTGCTTTTTTAATGGCAATTATTCTAATAGCTTGCATCACATTCTCTGGATGAATTGTGGAGAAGTCTTCAAAGAACACCACATGTCTGAGATTAAACAGAGGAATTGTATATTGAATTGAATTTCAGTATAGTCCACAGATTATACTGAAAAATCTCCTCTTGTGTTGCGGTCGCCTCGTTTCCTCACCCAACCCAGGGGTATTCAGTGCAATTACCCTTAATATATATATAGTCACCCTTTCTTAACTGAAATGCCACTTGGAGCTGGTGACTTTTAGCATCAGTAGATCATCATCACCGTGATTGGAGTTAGACTTTGACCTGGACTGAAATCCAGCATTACAAGCTTAAAATATTATAGCTGTTGTTTTGTTGAATTTTGAAAACACAAATGTTAATGGGAAAGTTGGTTTTTCCTACTTTACTGTGATCACAAATTTGATTTTTTTGGTTCTCAAAGACGGTGTTTGGTTTTCTTTAAACCACCCCATGCCTCTGATGCAAGGAAATGTCATTTACTCCCTCCCTTTTATCTACCAGGTGTTTTTTTCTTGAGGTTTCCTGGTAGCACAGTGGTCAAACCTGAAACAAGACCAGCTTGTGTTTCAGGTGCTGTGGCTGCACACAGAGAGTGCATTGGTTTAAAGGAGATCAGGAAAAAAAAAAAAAGCAACTATTGGGTTCCCCTAAAATCCCACCAAGCTTTGGAAAATCGAATTTTAAATCCTTATTCTGAACTCAAAGTCCCATTACAATCTGTCTTTGGATCTGGAGGTGATTTATGTTTGTATCTCTAAATGCCCTTTCCAGACCCAGAGCCAGATATATGAATTTATTCCCAAGCTAAACTATCCTGGAAAGATTTTGCAATAAATTTTTTCTTTCTTATTTCAAGCGTGCCAATTCTTCCTGGCTGAGCCTTTGTGGAGAAGGCACTGCCCATCGTATGTTTGAGAGCTGCTGCTGAGTGCTACGGTAAAGAACCACTATGGGAAAGTTTCTCACAGGCAAAAAGAGCCTGAAAATGTTTATTTTAACGCTTTGTGTTTAGAATTTTAGAAATCTGTAGGTGGAAATTCCCACGCGAAAAACTTAAAGCCCTTCAAAACTGAAAAAGAGGTGCCTTGTATTCGTGTGGTTTGGAGTACAAAATAGTATTCATATCATTATTATGATTATTATTTAAAAAAAAATAAATATCTTTTTATGGATGCAATGAATGGAGCCTCATCAGAGTGCTTAGTCAAGACTTGAGGAATTGCTTACAGATTTTCCCAGTACGGATTAACATCTGACGTAGTCGTGTCATGGCTTGGGGGACAATGGCATCCTTTATCTGCACCCGCCTATTCTGGGCATTTCATTTCTTCCTACAGACGGTCCTTTGTTTGTAAAGGCAGCCTGATGGAGCTGTGTGTATCATCATACGTCCAAAAAATGCAGATCTCTGACAGGTGTTTAAAAAAAATAGGGGAATCCAGCAAAGGTTAAGACAAGCGCAGGATGAGAGGTGGTGGCTGTATATGGTGGTTATGAACGTTGCTGTGGTCAACTTGAATTTCAGGAAAGCTAAATACTCGTGTTTTGCGCTTCACTGGTGGGATGTAGACTCCAAGATTAGTTTAAATTTTCACAGGCAATTGAATTTTCTACATTGTGGTGAACGTTAACTTCTGCAGTTTAAAGCTGTTCAGATCTTTAGTTCTTCTGATACCTGTGGATTCATATCCCTTAAATAACCACAGGGTTTGAACACCCCAACCTCTTTATTCATCTCATATATCATCAGCATTCAAAATATTAGAAATTCAGCACCTAACAGTTAGCTTCTGTCTGGAGTAGCTATTTTAGCAGTGCTGAAACAACTGAAGGGTTGCCTGCAGGATGCCCAGTTACTGGAATGCTCGGGTAACTGGGGGAACACCAGCTACCAGCACCAAGTGAAAGGGTACTTCCATGGTAATCTGGGCTCCTTGCTCATCATTATGAGAACCCCCTGCAGTGCTGCCTCCAGCTCTGGGGCCACCAACAGCAGAAGGACATGGAGCTGTTGGAGCAGGCCCAGAGGAGGCCACGGAGATGCTGGGAGGGTTGGAGCCCCTCTGCTGGGAGGACAGGCTGAGAGAGTTGGGGGGTTCAGCCTGGAGAAGAGAAGGCTCCGGGGAGACCTTGGAGCCCCTTCCAGCCCCTCAAGGGGCTCCAGGAGAGATGGGGAGGGACTCTGGATCAGGGAGGGGAGCCACAGGATGAGGAGGAACTGTTTTGAACTGAAAGAGGGGTGAGTTAGCATGCACTTGGAAGTCAATGGTCCCACTGCTCTGGTGTCTCAGCAGACCTGTCTCTGTGCTGGTCCCGTGAGATTGGAGATTGGTGTCTTACAGGCTTGTGGAGCAGAGGACACACACAGCTTTTCTCCTTCTTGACTTTCTAGATGTAGGAGGAGAAATTCTGAGCTAGAATGGATATTATAATCTCTGCTTGCTTGCAGGGATGGGCATAAGAGGAGGATTCTTGCTCCCTACAGCCCCAGTACTTAGTGTGGATATCAAACACATTTTGACAAAGAATAAGTACCAGGATAGAGCTTTTGTAGAGACTTCTCTTTTTTTTCACGTGAACAGCAAACACTGGGCACCCAGTTCCTCATTTGGGGTGCTGAAATTGAAACTGGAATGGCAGTGACCGAAAACGGCTTTCAGTGAAAGACTAATTTTAATAAAAAAAAAACCAAACCCTTTCATCTTTAAAATCACTTTTAAAAAAAAAAAAAAAAAAACACCCTTTCATCTTTAAAATAATCCTTTATGCTAATTGATGTGTAATTTGGGTTATTGTGAGTGCAGTTCCCAAAGGAAGCAGGGCTCTGTGCGGTGAGGGTCAGCACGTGGGGTTTTGTATCTCCTCCTCAGTCTGCATCCTCTTGATAACTTTGAAACCAATGGTCCATATCAGTCAAGTTTTATAGAGGAGCACGAGTCTCACAAAGTTCTTTATTTTTTTGAAAATTCAAGGCAACTGGGTAGAGAGGAGTGTATCCCATTAAAGCTGGACTGTTGTTTGAACTTCAGCCTTAAACTTTACAGGATCTACATCTTTCTGTCCATCTCTCACATCCTCACACACGCTCTGCAAATTTGGTCTCACTAGCTCAGGTGTTTGGAGATTTAAACGACTTTCACTGCTCATTTCAGCCCCATGGGAAAAGGTGGTGGTGTTTCTCCAGGCATTTGTGGTCACCTCGTTAGGGGTCCCAGCAGCGGGAGGGTGACTTCTTCATCAAAAAACACCAAAAGGAATTCCCTTCCCTCTTACCTGCTGTCACTTTATGATTTGTGGCATTAAAAAAAAATATATATATAAAAAAATATCTCTTGTTTGATTTTCAGAAACAGAAAAGATCCCTGTAATGCGTGGGCAGTGGTTTATCGATGGGACGTGGCAACCTCTGGAAGAGGAGGAAAGTAACTTAATAGAACAGGAGCATCTCAACCGCTTCAGAGGCCAGCAGCTGCAAGAGAGCTTTGATATGGAAGTATCAAAACCTGTTGACGGGAAGGAGGGTAAGATTGTTTAGATCACTATTTTTATAGTATGTTCTCTGGACAGCTGGGGTTTGTTTTTCTGAAGTGAGAATGTGATTTATAATGTTTTTTCCATCCTACATAGTGGGGAACGTTATTACAGGCATCAGTTTGCTCTCCCATTTTTCAGTGCATCTTGATGCTGTAGGATTTCCTGCTGCAGCACATTTGATAAACACTAAATATTACATTCATTGATAAACTTCTTGTTCCCATTTTGATTCATGTTTCATATCTTTCAATTGTGTTTGAAATCTCATTTCAAACTAAAATCTCTTGATGGGACAAGAAGAGTCAGTGTCCAAATGCAAAGTGGCTATTAGCTCTCTGGCCAGTGTTCCTAATTCTGCCCTGAAGGGAGCATCAGTTTTACAAATCACATTTCATTTTCCATTCATGTTCAGTCTGTGAATTTATTAAAGTAGTTTTCAGCCATAGTAAATCTTGGGCATTCATTCTGTAATGGAAGTCCTTGTATTTTAATGAGGACATTCAGTTTGTGTTCCAGGGAATCTCAGTCATATGCATTTAACATTCTTAAGAATGGCCTTCTGAAATTACTGGTCTATTATTTAATGTACGCAGTTGAATTGCTTGATCTGAGTAAGAATAGCACAGTGAAAATTCAGTATTTTTGGCTTTCACACTTCACTTCTGTGTGTTGGCTTTCACTTGGTGAACAGTCTACAAACCAAGAGCTGCGAGTACAGTGGCCTCACAGTATATTCTGGTAGGGTTTGGGTTGTGTTATTCTTTCTAAAGCAACTTTATTTTTAATCTCTTTAAACTACAACTTTGTAGAAGGCAGTTACAGAGTGTAGGAGCAGCTGTGTGAGCATGGAGGAGTTCCTGTGTGTGAGCTACATGAGCACACATGAGTAAAAGCTTGTTAATAAATTAGAAGCAAGGCAGTATTCAGGCTACTTCTGTAATTACTGTAACAAAAACCAGAATATCATTTGTTGATTTAGGGAGGTTTTTCAACAGCACAGAGAGTAGTTCAGTTTCTAATTCCCCTCAAAGCTAATGAAGACTCTGTGAAAATTATTATTTTTTTCTATTTTTACCACTTTAAAAGATCTTTTTTCTCCGGCCAAGCCTGCAGTACAGTCGTCTGCTTTAACAGCTCTGTCAGGTAGGTGTGTAAAATGCTGTGACCCCTGAGCCCCAGCACCCCAGCAGTACAACCACCCTTCTGGAAGGCGCTTTAACCTGTGTTTCTGTGTGCTTGTGCTGGTAGGAAGCTCAGCTTTGTTAGTACAGCTCTCCCCTGCGATGAGTGCCGTGCTTTTTGTAGTAGGGTAGTAGGAATTTTTTTCATGGAAAACAAGTCTTTTTGGGTGCTGAGTGCTTCCAGCCTTCGGTAACTTCACTTCTGATGGGAGGAAGGAAGGATGGATTCAGTTGTACCTGGATTCTCCTTATCGAGTAAGGAAGAAAGTTCAATTTTTTTTAGAAAAAGTCTGATCTGTAGATGTGAAATTTACAGATTTGAGGTTGGGAAGAGTGATGAGAAAAGTATAATCCCTGATACTTACGAAAACATTAAAAAAAAAATCGGGAAAAGAAACTCCAAATTTAGACATCAGTGACTTTTCTAAAGTGAAAATTAAAAAAAAGGCAAAACACAAAAAAATACCTCGCCAAGCTGTGCATGCAGTCACTTCAAAATGGAATATGTGTCAAGTCACCAATAACTTTCAACATTTTTTTTTTAAATAGTAATAGTAGAGTTGCAGGAAAATTATAGCTAACAGTAAGTGTGAAAAGTGGTTTTGTCATTATAACATGCTTCTCAATACATTTCTGATCAGCTGCCGTCCGTGATTGCCAGCTGCGTGTGGCACTGGGAGGAGCTTTACGACTTGCTTTATCTCTGGTGAAGTAAACATAATTAGTGGGAGAAGTGTTGAATTCAGTTTATAAATTTCTTAAGTGCTACAATTTGTTGCTATGATTTGTTGTAATTGCATCCCGTTTGAAACCTATTTTGGTCCCGTCAAGGTTTACAGGTAGCTGCTGTTTAAGACTAGTGAAGGAATAGATCTGTAAATATCACTGAGGGGCAAAGTGACTGTTTGCAATGCTACGATAAAGCACTGTAAACGATGAAAAACCAGCAAAATTAATACAATCTGCTGTCACAGTCTCTTAGTACTTGGACGTAATTGCTTTCTTATGTGAACGTGCCAATTTGCATCATGAATAACAAAAGACCAGCTTGTCAGCAAGCATCTTGTTGATATGCAGTATCAAACCTATCAGTATGATATGCAGTCAAACAGATCAGCTCTTGATTTGACCCCAGCCATGCTCTAAAGGGTAGCAGTGGGATGAAAAATTAAGAGCAAGTTCCACTTTGCTGCTCCTGTTGTGGATAATTTTCCTCTTATTCAGCCTGCTAACGGGGGGCAGCATACGGGATCCTGGAACTGAGAATCCAAGACTCAATTGATGATTCGTTTGCACTTTATATTCTATTTATTTCTATTTATTATATTTATCTATTGTCCTCTGCAATCTTTTTGGGCAGAAAACAGAATTGCCAGCAAGTTTACTAGGTGTTTAGCACCCTCAGTTCTTGAGCAGCCTACCCAGTGCGTTGCTGGTGATGGAATTGCCCTTTTTCTGTTAAGCCCAGGGCAAGTGGTGCTGCTTCCCATCTGCCTGTGCAAATGCTAATAGTGAGCACTATGTACATCACTTGTGAAGGGCAACTGCTCAGCAGGTGTTGCCCATCCTCTTTCCTCATATCTTTGGTTTGGAGATACACGCTAGGAGGGTCCCTTACATCTAAAAACGTGATTTCCCACTCCAATAATTTGATTTATTAATTCTGCTCCTGGATTGCAGCATGGTAACAAGGAAATCCATAAGCTTCATCCAGGGCTGCTGTTGGTGAGTGGATGTTGATGAATAAATGCCCCATTATTACACTCTTAATACAAGCAAACCTTCCTCCGAAAGGGCAAAATGACTGAGAAGAGGCATCTCCAGCCTGTGGCCTCTAAGTAACATAAAGCTCCTGCCACCTCCCAGGGCTGTGGAGCTGTAAATGCTTAAGGTAACAGAAAACATATAACATTTAGGTGTGTGATTTCCCAAGTTCTGTTTTCCATGGGGCAGCCTGGAGACCTCTGCTGAGCAAACTGTAGCGATATTTTGATATTTTGACAAAGTATTTAGTTTTGTGCCATGCAAAATGAACTGGTTTGTGGTGCCTGATGCCACTGACTCCCCTTGGTGCCTGATCCTTTCCATCGGTCCGCTGAGCTGTTGGTCTCAGCACTGGCATGGCTTTCTCAGGGAAATTATTTATCATGGCAGAAGCCAGAAATGGGGCACTTTATTTCTCAGGACTGTCCAAACAGGTTAATGTGACCTTTAGATTTGCCATATCCAGCTGACCTGGCTTGGTCTCCAAGAAGGTTATGGCCTGTAGGTGTTCACAGACGTGGCTACCAGAGCTCTGCCTGCTGCTTGTAAAAATTACTCAAATTGCTGAGATTTCAGGAGGGATGTTTGTTTCTGGATGTGTTGACACCTGCAGCACTTGTCAAAGGCCACCTACCCCTGACCGGCAATCTCTGAAGTGCAGCACGCACAGGAGGTGTTGGCATGGGATGGTGTGATAGGATGAGGGGCAAGGGTTTTAAGCTGGAAGAGAGGAGATTTAGACAAGATATTCAGAAGAAATTGTTGACTGTGAGGGTGGTGAGAGCCTGGCCCAGGTTGTCCAGAGAAGCTGTGGCTGCCCCATCCCTGGAGGGGTTCAAGGCCAGGTTGGAGGGGGCTTGGAGCAACCTGGTCTGGTGGGAGGTGTCCCTGCCCAGGGCAGGGGGTTGGAACTGGATGATCTTTAAGGTCCCTTCCAACCCAAATCATTCAATGATTCCATGCCAGCCAAGTCCCCAGCCCACCACAGACCATGTCTGTGTGTCAGAGAGGGGTGCTGGGGACATGAGCCTCTCTCTTCATCGATTGCACAAGGGCCTAAAACCAGACCAGAGGGACACTGCCAAAGTCCTGGAGCAAACAAATGCTGCAAGGACCGTACCCGTCTCCTCCATCGCTTGACCACACTCTGTTTCACATCTCGTCACCCCAGAGTCCACCTTGATCCTGGCCAATTTCCATGTACATTTTTCAGTTCAAACAGTTCATTTTCTTATTGATAGATACAGGAAAGGATGCTGTTGTTCTGTCTTTTAAAACACGAGTAACAAATAACGGCTACAGGAGGAAACCACACTCAGGATGAGGAATTTAGGGGTTTGGCTGCATTTCTGCTGCTTCCTCCTAAAACCGAACCTTCGCAGCCTGGATTTGAGTTAAGGCAAATCCCAAATTTGCACGAACGCAAATCTGAATATTGGCAGGTTCAGGAAGACATCTTTTTGGCTTGTCGTTACATAAAGCTAATCTTTCTGAGCAAAACAAGAGCCATCACAGTGTCATTTCATAGCTGTGTCGAGGAGCAGAGCTTGGTGTTTGCTGCTCAAGCCTTTGCTAAAAACAGCCCATTCTGCTGACACCTTAAACCCCTAAATGAGATGCTGCGCTGCTGTAACCATATCCGTGGGCTTCCCAGCCTGATTTGTTGTCTACCTATCAACAGAGCAGCAGAACAATATTGCAAGGGGTTTTTTGGGGCCTCAAAGTCATTTAGCCAATACTTGTTTGTTTGGTTTTTTTTTTAATCCAGGTGACACTAAGCTTTTTTTGTATATTGTCCTTAAGAACAATTCATCCTTCAAACTTAACATACGTAGATTAATACCAACGCAAGATGTAAGGTGACATTTTGATCTAAATTCTTAGCTTCAAAATTTTAAATACTTGATGCAAAATTCCCCCCTTAAACTGTGGAAATATCCGGGGTGTTTATTTCATTGTATCTCTGTGCCTTTTTGCAGAAATACTGGCCTTTCTTGTATTGCATATTCCCAGGGATTACGCTAAAGTATATGACTACTGTAAAAGAATTCTATAAATATTTCTGAGGAAGGTCTAGGTTTCAACACGTGTTCTTTGAAGCGATATTTCAGCTGAAACCATTCTGAACTGAGTACAGAAAGGGTATCATAATACCTTTTTAGCAGTCAGTAAGCTTAAAATGTAACGAATAACCTAAGATTTAGAAGCTACTTTTTGTGCATCCTGAGGCAGACCGTGGACTCAGGACCTGTCTAAAGATGTCTATCAAAGGAGCAGTGTTCTGAAGTGATACCAGTAATATAAAGGCCATTGTAAGATAAAACAAGATCATGAACTCAGATCACAGCAGGTTCTTAGAGGGTTCTCAGACTGGATATTTTGCTAACAGTATTTAACCTCAATAAAGGCAGTGATGTTCAGACCAAGAGGAGCTTGATGGAGGGTCAAAGCCACACCTTCAGTGTTTTCTCTCCTGCTCTGTGGCCAGAGCCCAAATACCCCTTGCTGTGAGTTCCTGGAGGACAGAGGAGCTGTTAGCAGGTAGGTGCCCACTGCTTCAGGTGCAGGGAGGTGGTCAAGGATGGACGAGCGGTTTTTCTCACACAGTCCGGCTTTCAGCTGGAGGTTCAATCTGCAGGACCCACAGCTGCCTGGTTCATGGTAAAGCTGCCACCTCTTGTCTTCTGCATAGAGGAACAGAGCAGGAACAGCAAGTGCTTGGCCTGTTCCCAGGGAGGGAGCAGCAGGTGAGACTTCCCAATGCTCCATCCTCAAGAGGGGTTCTTCTGATTCTTCCATTCAAGCCCACTGAGCGGTGGTTCACAGGGTACGTCATAAAGTGGTCCCTGGTATAAATAATATCCTCTAACAGCTTTAACATTTGCTAGGACAAGAGGGAACGGCCTCAAGTTGCTCCAGGGGAGGTTTAGCATGGATATTATAAAAAATTTCTGCACTGAAAGGGTTATCAAGCCTTGGAAGAGGCTGCTCAGGGAAGTAGTAGAGTCTCTATCCCTGGAGGTATTTAAAAGCCGGGCAGACCTGGTGCTGAGGGACATGGGTTAGTGGTGGACTTGGCACTGTAGGGTTAACAGTTGGACTAGATGATCTTAAAGCTCTCTTCCAACCAAAATGATTCCATGATCTCTGCCTTAAAAATACTTGGGTAGCTGTTACTATAATAAATACAGTTGAGTACCTGTCACCTGTCACTCCATCATCTTTCCCAGGTGTATTCGTTTCACTAGGGTGAAGTGAAGCTGAAAGCTTAATATATGTGATATTAAGATAGGAATAGATGTAGTTCATTGTATTTGCACAGAGAGATGCTCAAAATTCAGCTGGAAATCGCCTGAGCAACCAGATTCAAGCTTGAAATTGGATCTGACTTAGAAGTTGATCCTGCTTTGTGTGAGGGGTTGGAGCAGACGAACCCCAGCAGTCCCTGGACATGGGTTAGTGGTGGACTTGGCACTGTAGGGTTAACAGTTGGACTAGATGATCTTAAAGCTCTCTTCCAACCAAAATGATTCCATGATCTCTGCCTTAAAAATACTTGGGTAGCTGTTACTATAATAAATACAGTTGAGTACCTGTCACCTGTCACTCCATCATCTTTCCCAGGTGTATTCGTTTCACTAGGGTGAAGTGAAGCTGAAAGCTTAATATATGTGATATTAAGATAGGAATAGATGTAGTTCATTGTATTTGCACAGAGAGATGCTCAAAATTCAGCTGGAAATCGCCTGAGCAACCAGATTCAAGCTTGAAATTGGATCTGACTTAGAAGTTGATCCTGCTTTGTGTGAGGGGTTGGAGCAGACGAACCCCAGCAGTCCCTTCAGCAGAAATTATTCTGTGATCAAGTCTTATTCTGTGATAGATCATAAGAAACGTAAAAAAAAAAATCCTGTGAGTCAGAATCAGAATTAATTTTTGTAATGCATTGATTTTGAAACATCATAAGTTTATTGGTTTTTCCTACATAATTTCAACATGTGATTAGATGCCACAAACACTGCATCTTTCCCAGGTGTATTCGTTTCACTAGGGTGAAGTGAAGCTGAAAGCTTAATATATGTGATATTAAGATAGGAATAGATGTAGTTCATTGTATTTGCACAGAGAGATGCTCAAAATTCAGCTGGAAATCGCCTGAGCAACCAGATTCAAGCTTGAAATTGGATCTGACTTAGAAGTTGATCCTGCTTTGTGTGAGGGGTTGGAGCAGACGAACCCCAGCAGTCCCTTCAGCAGAAATTATTCTGTGATCAAGTCTGTCATTCTGTGATAGGTCATAAGAAATGTAAGAAGAAAATCCTGTGAGTCAGAATTAATTTTTGTAATGCAGTGATTTTGAAACATCATAAGTTTATTGGTTTTTCCTACAGAAGTTCAACCTGTGATTAGATCCCACAAACACTATAAAAGTTGCATTTGGAGTAGTTGATTTGTTTCGTCTTAGATTTCAAATATTTTCTATGTTCTATATTTCAAATGTTTTCTGTTTTCATAAAAAAATTATGTAGCTTTTTTTGTCACAGCTGGCTAAGTTAACCTTTGGATGGGGAAGTCATAGGATTAGAGAGTCGTACGGATCAGGAGGGGTCTCTGGAGATGCTCCACTGAAGCTCCCTGCTCAAAGCTGCAGAGTCAACGAGAGCAGGTTGCTCAGGATGTTTCCAGTGGAGTTTTGAATATCTCCAACAGTGGAGACTTCCCAACCTCTCTGGGCAATCCGTGCCAGTGTTTCTTACCCTCACCATAAGAAAAATATTTTTTTTCCTTAGGCTTGACTTTACTGTGTATATTCTTCTTGAGTTGCCACAGCCAGTAAACTCCTCTGTAAATTGTTCCAAGTGCAGTCGTCTATGAGCCTAATTTTCCTCTCCTCTAGAAAACTGATGTAATATAGTAATATATTTTGCTTGTATCTGTATTAAGGCATCTGCTGACAGAGCTGTTAGCTGAGGGTGTGAAGAGGCATGACCCTGGACCAGCATCGCTGTGGCAGTCGAAGCTCTTGACACAAGCCTGGAATATTGCACTTTTGTGATATTCTTGTGCTGGCATAAGTTGCTGGATCACAGAGCATTAACTGCTCCTGGGTTTTTTAAGGGAAGATGTCATCCGTTTGCATTTCTTCCCACTCTGTAGCAGGCCAACTCATTTCAGGTCATCGCAGGCTGTGGGTTCAGAAGCCAGGCTGGAGAATCTTGATTTCTCATGGGACTTAAACACACTCTCTTGACTATATCAGGTTTTTGAGGCTAAAACAATTTGAAATTAAGACTGTTTGTTTGAGGGAGGGCCCACGAAGCAGTAACGCAGAAGATGTAGGTTTGTAGGTTTGTAGGACTTTCAGCTTTCCTCAGGACCCCCTGAAGAAGTGCAGAAGGTCTCCATCATTACAATTAATAGTCAATACAAGTCTCCTGTTGTGTAAGTGCCAAGAGCAGCTTCTTCCACCCACTTAACTTTATCTGTTCGTTAGCAGCAGCCTTCACTTAACTTAAAGTAGTCCTTCCATAATCACACAACACCAATATGTAACTCCCTGAGAAAGAGTCTGTTGGATCACTGGGTAATGTTTAAATAGTCTCACAAGGAGTGAAATAAAATAATTGAAAATCTAATAAAAGTTATGGACTTGCATTTCACCATAGGAGGCAGCTGCCTTACAGAACAGGGGTAACACTGGAATATTTGGTTGTTTTCTCTAGCTCTTAATGATCCTCTTATGCTCTTTAAGGAAAATAATAGAGCTGTGCTTGAAACTGAGTTGTTGTTTTTTTTCCCCCAAATGTTTAGTGTTTACTTAAGAAGGGTGACTGTGTTCTACCCTATACAAACAGATTATTTATGCTTTTCTACAAAGGCACTGGGTGAGTCTGATTACACTGTTCCAGCTGTCTTTTACTAATGCCTTGAGCTCTGAGGTGATATCATAACTGTTTATGAAGAGTGAAGAAATTGAATTTGACTAATGTGACCTGACACTTTTGCTACAAAACCAGTTTTTAAAGTGTGTATACTTTTTCAGAAAATGTGCCAACTTTTTTTTTTTCCCTAAAAGTGGTAATGCTAATGAAAAAAAAAATGACACCCCTTTTAAAAATTTTACTTTGAAGCTCAGTGTTTTTACTTTTAGTTCTCTACTACCTCCCTCCCTTCTCCCTCCCTTCTTTGTTCAAATGGAGAGGATATAAGGAGAAATCAGATGCTGCATGTCTTAAGCGCAAGCGTTCCCAAGGTACAGTAATTGTAGATTTCTTTTTTTTTTTTTTTTTTTTGTTTTGTAGTGCTTCTGGCTTAGGAAGCTTTACATTCTAGTTTGCTTATATCAGTGAAATGTGTTAGATTTACATGCTTCGATTTCTTGAGCTGTATTCATGCCATTTCCTTCAAAAGTGAAGGAAAAAGCATCATAAATCTTAGAAGAAAAGTAGAAGTGGTGTGAATCTTAGAGAAAACTAGATGCTAACGTTATCATGCAGTAATCCTTACTGTAATTGTGATGAGAACTGTAAAATTTTGTTTCTTACACTCTTTATATGTGGTTTGGCTTTTTCAATAAACTAAAAGCAACTTTTTTAGAATCACAGCAGGCCTGCTAAAAGATAAATTACATCAGAGAAGAAATAGAGGGTTTATACTAGATAATGTTTTGTTTGTCACTTTTTTTTTTGATAATGCATGCATCTATAATTTTATGTTGTATATGATTTTTACTGCAACTTTTTTAAGAGGGTTTATACTAGATAATGTTTTGTTTGCCACTTTTTTTTTGATAATGCATGCATCTATAGTTTTATGTTGTATGTGATTTTTATTGCAATTTTTTGAGTACTGGAATGAAATGGGACCTTGGACATAGGTTCTAAAAAAGGAGAAGCTGTGTAGAATATGTGATAAAGGCTGCTGTTTTGCAGAAAACTTCAAACTTTGCAGCAGCTGATGTGCAAATTTGTTTCAGAAAGTGGGAGTAGATCTTAGAGGAGCCATTAATGATTGCAGGAGGCTCAAAAGTACTTGTCACTGATCTTTCTCTGCCACCATTAGAGCCAGTAGAGATTAAACTTTTATTGATTTCAGTGGCTGTGGAACTAGACTTCTGAAAACTGTACCCTCCCTCCGTTTAGAATGTAAATGCATGTGGTAGGTTTAGAGATATTCTTGGTATACCATATATTCCTTTAGCTCCTGGGGATATTGTAAAATAGGAGAATTTATTTTGGCATGCATAAACGTTTGCCTTTTGGCTTCCTTTAACTGTATTTTTCTATAATTGGGTCCAAATGAAAATGCCTGAAATCAAAATGTTTACTATTAAACTCTTTCCTGCTTCTCCTCGCACATGGATCTCAAGTCCGTTAAAGGTGAAGAAGTGTTACTGTCTTGAGCAGTAAGAAGGGGCTTATGCCTTTTATTTTCTGATTGTAATTTTGAAATTATTTTGTATATTTTCTTTATTCCATATCATGTTCAGTTGTGGTAATGAATGTGCTTGAATTAAAAAAATTACAAGTATGTGTTATGTATCAAATAGCGACACTGATGAATTGAGAAGTGAAGTGCAATACAAAAATGACAGCAATGTGAGGCAAGTCTTTTTAATTAAGAGCAATGGCCGTTTTAATGGCTTTGCATTTGTTTTTTTAAATAAATAGGAAAAGGTTTTGAATTCTACAGCTCTAACTCGGGTTTACGTAGCATGACTTCAGAGTTGTTTAAAAAAGAGCAGCAGTGGGCAAATCATGCTCTCAGCTACCTGTATGATGTAGCAGGCTTTTGTGCCTATTAATTGCGAGGCAGATTAATTTAAAAATCCCTTGGGGAAAAAAAAAGGGGGAGAAAAGGTTTTCAGACAGTACCTATTCCTTGTCTGGCCTTTAGCCCTGACTGGAGTGACATTGCCTTTGGGGAGGAGATGGAGGTAATATCAGCTCTTAGAACTTCAAAGATACTTTCCTCTAGATTGATTTTGACTTGGGCATAGTCAAACTCTGGGAGAAGAAAATCACCCCATGCTTTGTTCTTGGCAGCTGGATGAAGGTACCGAGTAAAAAACCAGTTGCTTACTTTAAAAGGTATTTAATTTTGAACTGTTGGCACTGTGAAATGCCATGTTGGAGTGCCTGGCTGTCTGCATGGGGTGCTGGAGGTGTTCGGCTCCTCGAGTGCTTATTTTGAATCGAGATGAGCTTCTGCAGTCTAGTTGAGATCAGGTTCTTCAAGACTTTAGGAATATGTGTTCTATATTTTTTATCACTTCATTTTTCATGTCATCTTTTTAGAAGACTTTAGGAATATGTGTTCTATATTTTTTGTTTATCACTTCATTTTTCATATGTCATCTTTTTAGGGGGGTTTTTCCCTCTGTGTTCAACTGTCTTGGTGAAGCTGGAGGTTTTTGTGATAGTAACCATGGGTTTCTTCAGCTGAAAGAAGTCCTTTCTTGATCCCTCTCCCTTTCCCTGTGCTTCTCTCCTTGTTTTTTGCATGGCTTCCTCACTCCTGGCTGTCTTCCATCTACAGTGGGGTTGTGTCTTCCACATACTCGTACTCTTGGTGTCTGTCGTGGTGGAAATCCCTGAAAAATGTTTAATTTCTAGTTTGTGGCTACAAAAGAAACCAAAATTTGGTCTCATTTCCATGGGCTTGGCCATCAATCCCAAACTAGAAAACTAAGCAGTGAGCAGAATTTTCTGCAGGGTTTTCTGCAACTAGGGAAGATGGACTTATGGAGACGCCTACTAAGAAAGCTGAGCATGTTGTCAGTGTCAGAGAAGTGGTTCATGTGAAAACAAAGCTGCAAGACGTCTGGTCCAGAGGGAGATTCCTGTCCCATGGATTTACGGGTTTTTCTGTGCCTGACGTTCAGAGATGCTCCAGCCGCAGTCAGATCTCAGTGAAGCTCAGCAACATCCTAGCCTGGTGCCCTGGAGGGAGTCTACAACAGTAGAAAACGTGTTCCTGAAGGACCCAGAAGGTTGAGAAAAGAAGACGAAGAGCATTCCCCTGTGCCGTACCCACCACCTAATCTGAATTCTGCGGCTTGGCTTCCTCAGCCATGCTATGACATGCCTTGGTGACTTCCTGACACTCTGTGGCATCTCTTGGTGTGAAAAGCTCCCAAGTTGTCAGTTTGACCATCTCTGTAGCATGCAAGAGGTTTATAGGACAGTCACCATTCGTCCTGAAGTGAGAATGTAAATCAAGTTATCTCATCATCCTCAGGAACACATAACTTTCTCTTCCTCGTGTTCAGTATCAAATCAGCGATTGCAGCCCTTGTCATCCCTTAAAGCATGGTTTGCATATTTTGCTATTTTTTTAGGATGCTTATTTTCAGACTGCTATCAAATCCTCTCTAAAAACACCTTTTCTGTTCCCTGCCTCGCTATTAATGCACCCTAGGACTATCAGCAGTGTTGGGTTGGGATCTTGTAAGTCTTGAGAATCTCTTCACATCCTCGGTGCAGTGTTGGCCCTCATGAAGAGCTACCTTATTGCAAGGGTTTTTTTATCTAAAGAGTATCTCCTGCACACAAGGACAGAGAACCTCAGTCCCTGCCCAGATACACATGCACACGTGGCTTGTGGATCATTTATTACTGTGATTGATCTAAGCCAGGCAGGTCTTAGAATCATAGAATAGTTTGGGTTGGAAAGGACCTTAAAGATCATCCAGTTCCAACCCCCTGCCATGGGCAGAGACACCTCCCAATAGACCAGGTTGCTCAAAGCCCCCTCCAACCTGGCCTTGAACCCCTCCAGGGATGGGGCAGCCACAGCTTCTCTGGCCAACCTGGGCCAGGCTCTCACCCCCCTCACAATCAAGAATTTCTTCCCGAGATCTCATCTCAATCTCCCCTCTTTCAGTTTAAAACTCTTCCCCCTCGTCCTATGGCTCCCCTCCCTGATCCAGAGTCCCTCCCCATCTCTCCTGGAGCCCCTTTAGGTATTGGAAGGCCGCTATAAGGTCTCCACGGAGCCTTCTCTTCTTCAGACTGAGAAGACGACCTCCACGTTTTCTCTCAGTTGGGTTTCTGCCATGCAAACCTGCAAGGATGTACCATTTTTCTCTCCCCAGACATTGTCATCACCAGGACAGATTCTTATGAAAGGATAGAGAAAGCACAACAGTAGTCATCAACTGAGATGTCACTCCTATTTTGAAGGGATATTCTTGTACACCAGGAGGGCCTGGGTCCTTTCTGGACACGGATTCATCTCCGCGCCCACAGGAACATTCATGAAAAATCAGTTTGCACGTTCATTGAGTTCTCACTGGATTGCTTCTTGCTCTGGCCAGTGTTATCCCAAACTGACATGTCTGCTTTTCAGACTCAGGCTTACTTCCTTTCCTGCTCTTGCTCTATCACTATAAAACAGTGATGTAGTTCTAGTTATTTTTTGTGAATCAGTTGTTTGCTATAACAGAAGGGGTAATCCTTTTCTAATCCCCTTGTTTCTTACAGACTACATTTAGTTTTTCATCAGACTGTGGATGGTCTGTCTGCCTTGGCAAAGAAGCAAAAAATACTGCAGGAGAAAGGTCACAGCATCTGGCTTAACGTGGCTGGTTTGGGCTGTAGCAGGGTTAAAATATGAAGTTGTGACGGCTCAGGCTTTCTCGGAATGTTTTTAGAAGAGTATAAAAAATTCATTTGACTGGCTTCAAGTAGGGGACAGGTTAAAGCTGTGCTTGTTGTGGCAAAAAAAAACCCAAAAAACCAAACAACCCCTCTGGGTGTTTTCCATGACTTTGGACTTTCTGGCAAGACCAATGATAGTTAAATGGCACTTTTTTTTTTTTTGTTCATGGAGCTATTGCTGTTGTCAGCTCCCCTAATGTTATGGATCCTGCATTAGATGAGACCTAAGCAGCAGATTTCCAAACACAGGTGAAATCTGAATTTCTAGTGGTAGGGCTGTGGTTCAGCTTGGCTCAAGCAAGCTCTAAGCCTTAGATGAGAAATTCTGACTTGTGTTATAACGTGCCTCTGCCGTGCTTCATCCCGACAATCAGGCAGTGTGTCACGAGGTTGGTCCCAGAGCTCAATCAGTTCCAAATCTGGAAAACACAATAATTGCACACACGAGAAAAAAAAAAAAATAACACCAAACCACTGGAGCTTTTAGTGGCTTTTGAAAGAGCTGGATTCTGTTTGGTGCCAGAAATTACTCATTCAGAGGCTTTCTCATTGAGCTGAGCTTCCAGCTCTGAGATATTTCTGAAAGGAGAGAAACGCAACGGAGCCTTCTAGTAATGGAGCCTTGAAAGCCTCTGTCAAACCCAGGGATCTCACTGTACAGACAAGGAGAGAGAAAATAGGAGTGAAATTGCTCTTTTTTTCTAGTGATAAGAGTTCATGGGGCAACCACCATTGGTCATCCCACCAACCTGCCGTATCTCAGGATGCATTGCACTGCTGCTTCCCCCTGGTTTCTGTTTTCAGCTAAAGGGAGTATTTTGGAAACCTGCCATCCCATAATGAGGGTGGGAGGAGAACGATGTGAAATGTCCCCAAAGGTCATCTCCAACCTGCTGCTTGACCGGCTCAAATTAATCCTAAATGTTAAAAAAGCTTTTCAAGGTAAGAAGTAATGCAGATTTAGGTATAATGGGGTTCTAGATTTTAACCTGTGTGTAAATTACTCTTCTCTCTCTGTGTTTAAAGAGGATAGTTTGTTTTGTTTTTTTTTAATTCTTACCCATCTAAACTAAATGTTGTTCCTTTTTGCTGCAGCTATTCATAGTCTAAAGTTGAGTCGCAACCATGTGGACTGGCACAGTGTGGATGAAGTGTATCTTTACAGTGATGCAACAACGTCTAAAATTGCAAGAACTGTTACACAAAAGTTGGGGTTTTCCAAAGGTAATATTTCTCAGAGTTTGTGGAGAATATTGTACATACTGGCATTTCAAGGTTGTTACTTTAACTCTAGAAGGATATTTTGAGTTTGATGCTTTAACTTGTGACCAGCCCCCTTTGGCCATTGCGGTTTTTACAGTCGAGTACATGAGGTTGTTGTACATAATTGTAACTAGATGTGAGTAAGCTATGACTTATTTTTATTGTATATTTTATTGTTATTTTGGGTGCAGCAGTTAGTATATGAAAACATTGCAGTGGCAGAGTCTAGCAGCTACGATGTAAGAATCACAGTTCCCTTTGCAACCTGAATTTTAGCGCTGTCTACTTTCATACTGCGATGCATTCCTAAAATACACCATCATCCCTTCCCCTCTCACCACCTCCTGCCTTTTTTTTCCCACTCATTAAATAGATGTATGAACCGAGAGGAAGGGTGAAGCTTTTAGGCAGAAATTGTTTTCAGTAGGAACCCGGGCTCATTTAAGCTCAAAACTACCAGTTATAAAGCCAGCATGGCTGAGATGGTGGGAAAGGAGGATGGTCTCTCTCTCGAGCAAGAGGCAGATTATTGCCAACTTAGAAAATTGAAACTTGTCCTCTCTGTCGTGGTGCTTCTATGCACTGCTGGACAACAGCAAAAGCAAGAATATACACAGCTGTTTTCTTCCTTGGTCTCTAAAGAGACAAGATCGGGTAATAGGTTTGGCTTTTGTCTCCATGCCTCTCTTCTGCAATTAATGCCCTCTTACTACACAGGGCTCTTGGGTGGATTTTTAATTAATGTTTGTCCAGAATGAATATAATTTAATGCTTTGGTTGTGGAAGAAATGAAGTATTCTGTATCCAGAACATGATTTGGACAATGTGTAATAAATAAGATCATCCTAAACAGTTTGGGGAGAGAAATATCAAGTAGAAACCCAGGATAAACAATACGTGTCCTGTGTAAAAACTGCCCTTAGTGTTTTTGTAGCATTTTCCTCCTCCTTAGAAACAAAACAAGTTGTTTGCTTCAAATTTTGTGACGGGGAGTGATGCTGCCTTCCTCTCCGTGGCCATCTGAAGGGCTTGCTGGGCTCCTGGGCAGGGCTGTGGTCCTCTCCGTGGGCCTGTCACTAGAGGGGGATGGAGACACGTTGTGCTGATGGTTTTCTCAAGCCATCTGTGGGGCACTGAGAAAACACCCCTACTTCCCCCAGGGAATTGATTTTTCGGGGGGGG